TGGAAAAGCCTCCAAGAAACTTGGTAGTCTGCTGGTCACCAAAGGTTTGTGCAAGGGAGAAATGGATCCCCCACTTACCCTTTCTCTGGGCTCGAAGCCTCCCCGGGTTTGATCGTCGTTGGTATCTTTTTTTCCTTTTATCTTCTTCCTTCTCTGCTTCGCAATTTTCCTCCCTCTGTTAAGTCCCAGGGAGGCTCCGGCACCTCTATGGTCTACACCTGACCTGCGTCTCTTCTCCCTTTTCCTTTATCTGAAATCCAATCTTCTCTCTGGGATGGTCTGATAAGTGATGTCACTAATCAGCCATCTTAGCATCTCTGTCAAGGAATCCTTTGATTTCCATCTTACTTTCCTCATTAACCCAAGGATCATTCAGTAGTAAGTTGTTTAAATTCCATGACTTTGTGTTGATTTGAGTGTTTCTCTTAGAATTTATTTCTAGTTTTATTCCACTGTGGTCTGAGAAGGTACATAGTATGATTTTAATTTTTTTGAATTTGCTGAGACTTTATTTGTGGCCTAAGATATGATCAATCTTAGAATATGTCCCATGTGCTGATGAGAAAAATGTATATTCAGTATTTGTTGGGTAGAATGTTTTGTAAATGTCTGTTAGGTCCATTTGCTCTAGAGTCCTGTTTAAGTCCAGTGTTTCTTTATTCATTTTCTGCTTCGATGATCTGTCCAGTTTTATCAGTAGAGTGTTGAAATCCCCAGAAATTAAGATGCTACTGTTCATTTCTTTCCTTTGATCTAGAAGAATTTGCTTTATGAAATTGAGAGTTCCTGTGTTAGGTGCATATATATTTAGAATTACTATGTCTCCTTGTTGAATTGCTCCCTTTACCTTTATACAATGATCATCTTTGTCTTTTTTTTTTTTTAACCATTGTTGATTTAAAGTCTATATTTATCTGATACGAGAATGGCTACACCTGCTCACTTTGGTTTCCATTTGCGTGCAATTTTTTTTTCTATCCCTTAAACTTGAGTCTATATGAGTCCTTGTGGTTTTGATGTGTTTCTTGGGGACAGAAAATATTTGGGTTGTGTTTTTTATCCATTCAGCTAGTCTGTGTCTTGTGAGTGGAGCATACAGATCATTCACATTGAGTGTTAGTATTGATATGTGGGATCCCATTCTGGTCATCATGTTGGATGATACCTTACTGTTTTGTTTTTCCTGTTATGATATTGTTCTATAAGAGCTGTGGGTGTTTTTACACTGGTGGGTATCTATTATGCTGTTGTATGTATACTCCAGGGAGCAAATGAATGATAAGAAAATGAAACAGCCTTAATGCTGATATGGAGAAAGCTTTAGTGGTCTGGGTGGAAGATCAAAGAAGCCACAACATTCCCTTTAACCAAAGCCTAATCAAGAGCAAGGCCCTAACTCTCTTTGATTATATGAATGCTAAGGGAGATGAGGAAGCTGCAGAAGAAAAATTTGAAGCTAGGAGAGGTTGGTTGATGAAGTTTGAAGAAAAAATCCAACTCTATAACATAAAAGTACAAGGTGAAGTAGCAAGTGCTGATGGAGAAGTTGTAGTGAGTTATCCAGAAGATCTAGCTAAGAAGATGGCTACACTAAACAACACATGTTCCATGTAGATAAAACAGCCTTCTGTTGGAAGATGATGCCATCTAGGACTTTCATAGGTAGAGAGGAAAAGTCAATGCCTGGTTTCAAAGCTTCAAAGAACAGGCTGACTCTTTTCTTGGGAGCTAATGAAGCTGGTGACCTTCGGTTGAAGCCCATGCTCATTTGCCATTCCAAAAATCCTCAGCCACTTAAGATTCCTTTCAAAATACTATTGCTCATTGTTAATGCACCTAGTCACCCAAGAGTTCTGATGGAGATGTATAAGGAGACGAATGTTGTTTTCATGCTGCTAACACAATATCCATTCTACAGCGGATGGATCAAAGAGACATTATGACTTTTAAGCCTTATTTTTAAAAAAATACATTTTGTGAGGTTATAGCTGCCATAGATGGTGATTCCTCTGATAGATCTGGGGAAAGTAAACTGAAAACCTTCTGGAAAGGATCCGCCATTCTAGATGCCAAAGAACATTTGTGATTCATGGGAGGAGGTAAAAATGTCACTATTAACAGGAGTCTGGAAGAAAATTGATTCTAACCCTCATGAATGACTTTGAGAGATTCAAGACTTCCATGGAGGAGATAACTGCAGATGTGGTGGAAATAGCAAGAGAACTAGAATTGGAAGTGGAAGCCAAAGATGTGATTGAATTGCTGCAGTCTCATGAACAAACTTGAATGCATGAGGAGTTGCTACTTAGAGATGAGCAAAAGGAAGTGCTTTCTTGAGATGGAATCTACTTCTAATGAAGATGCTGTGAACATGGTGCAAATGACAACGAAGGATTTAGAACAGGATATAAACTTAGCTGATAAAGCAGTGGAAAGGTTAGAGAGGATTGGTTCCAATTTTGAAAGAAATTCTACTGTGGGTAAAATGATATCAAACAGCATTGCAGCTACAGAGAAATGTTTCATGAAAGGAAGATTCCATCGATGTGCCAAACTTCATTGTTGTCTTAAGAAATTGCCACAGCCACCCCAGCCTTCAGCAACCACCACCCTGATCAGTCAGTAGCCATCAACACTGAGGCAAGACCTTCACCAGCAAAAAGATTACGATTCACTGAAGGCTCAGATGATTATTAGCATTTTAAGCAATATTTTAAAATTAATGTATGTACATTGTTTTTTTAGGCAATTCTATTGCACACTTAATAGACTATAGTATAGTGTAAATATAACTTTTATATGCTCTGAGAAACCAAAAAATTTGTGTGACTCACTTTATTGCAATATTCACTTTATTGTGGTGGTCTGGAACTGAACTGGCAGTATTTCTGAGGTGTACCATACGGCGCCTGGCTGCATGTAAGCACTGGGTAAAAATGGTAGCTATGATATGGTGATGACAGCGGTCATGTGATCTTTTTTTTCCCTGCTTATTTCAAATGTTACTACTTCACATCCTCTCCTCAACCACTATTCACCTTTTAAGACTCACCTCAGGGGAGACTTCCTTTGGATAATTTACTTTCACATTTTTCATTCCAAATTAGACACCCTTCCTCAGATGTTACTTGGTTTTCTCCTATCCCTCCCCCCAACAGGTTGTGAATTCCTACAAGGCAAGGATCTTTCTTCTCTCTTCCCAGGACCACCAGAAGTGCTCAATAAATATTAAATGCTCAGTAAAGTTCTGTTGACTAAATCAGTAAATGAGTGAATAGTGGTAGTATATATCAGTCTTGCAAATAACTTCCCTTGCATTTAACAGCAGGTGATGAAATTATCTATCAGCTTAGAAAAAAATTCCAACTTTATTAATTTAGCTACTTTTGTTCATCTTTGAAGACGGTGGACCTTTGAAAAGCTTTGCACGTAGCTGGTATAAATAAAACATAAATCAACCAATTCACCAACAGGTGAATTTAAGAAGAAAATTTATCTCACTAGCCTGACAACTCCAGCCAGCTTTTAAGTAAATTGAGGCCAGGGATCAAATTATTCTTAGGTTAAAGAGGAAAACTATACATGTGACTCCAAACTTTGCAGACATCTTTTAAAAACCTTATTCTAAATAAATTCCTCTAATTTTGGACAGAAGAGTAGCAATGGTAAGTGTTAATTGGCAGGGAAGTCAGTTTAACACTCCGCTATTATAGTTTCCAAAATGAGAAGCTTTTAAAGTTGCCTTGTGGTTAAAAAGCCTTCTAATCTCTCTCTCTCTCTCAGCAATGCTTTTCATCTGCCCAGTCCCCACTTAGCAAACTGTCAATAAATTTAAAAATACTTAAATTTTCAGGGGAAAAAAAAAAGAGCAGCTGTGATCCTACGTAATGCAGTGTTTTCATTCCGGTCTCTCTGAGGAAGAATACCCAACCACGAATGGCTAGGAGGGCTCGGTGGTGGCTTTTCTTTACTGCGTTTTGGACCAAAACATCTGTCCTTTGGTATTTTACCAACTTCGACTATGATCTCCTTCTCTAGATCAACATTTATTAGATCATGTCTTCCAGAATAAAGGAGCTGTCGGCACCTCTCTCCACAAGCCTTAAAACAAATCTTATTAAAAGGTGAGTGGAAATGAATCACTGGAAACCGAGAAATTTCTTTAAACGTCTCCAAGAAAAACACAACTTCTTTCTCCTTATAACACAGGCGCCTCATTTTATGTGCAAACAACCTACTCTTTGAAAGGTAACTTTTCCGTTGTCCAACCACAACAGTCTCAGTGACACTTTCGACTTTCCCTGAGGACAACAGCCCTTCAAGCCACTAGCGATTCCCTTTATTTCCCCTGGATGCCCGTAGGCTCCTGAAGAGGTAGGTTAACAGCCAACCCTGGAGAGCCAGGGCTCACTCAACAGGTGGTGCGCGAGGCCGCGAGGGCAGAGCCGCTGCCCGCCCGCCCTCAGGGCGCTCCTCGTCGGCGTCCACCAGACCTCGCGCCCGGGGACTGCCCGGGCTCCAGCGAGGGCCGCGGCCCAGCACGGCGGCTGGGAGGGGGCCCGCGCCCGATTCACGTCGCCTCCACGCCCACCTCCTCCCGGGACGAGTCCCCTCCCCTCGCCACAGCACGGACTCTCGGGGCTGCCGGTATTGTTGGCCACGTCTGTCACTCTGTGGGCCGGGTGACATGAATGGATGGGCTGGACACACCTTCCGTCCTTCCAGAAAGAAACTCGTCCAGATCTGCACAGAGAGCTGGAGAGACTCAGCCTACGCCGCCGGCCAGGGAAACGCACAGCTTCCCCCTCCCACCCTCACTCCTCCCATCCCTTAAAAAAACGCCCAACGCAAATAAATAATATCGTTCCAAGCCTGCTGCCGTCTTCGGTGCCATCTCCCGCCCGCCCGGCTCCACGCGCTCCAGCCCCGAGGAAGGCGGCGGCGGGACGGTGGCAGGAAGGCGGCTCGAGGTCGGGTGCGTGGCGCGCGGGCGCCGCACTATGCTCCCCAGCGCCGTGGCGGCCCACGCCGGCGCGTACTGGGACGTGGTAGCTTCCTCCGCGCTCCTCAACCTGCCCGCAGCGCCCGGCTTTGGCAACCTGGGCAAGAGTTTCCTGATCGAGAACTTGCTGCGGGTCGGAGGCGCCCCTACGCACGGGCTGCAGCCGCCCCCGCCCCACGGTCGGGCGGCCGCCCTAGCCTCGGCCGCAGCCGGCGCGCAGCTCCGGCCCCTGCCCGCCAGCCCCGTTCCCCTCAAGCTGTGCCCTGCGGCGGAACAAGCCAGCTCCGCCGGGGCGCCCTACGGCACGCGGTGGGCTTTTCAAGTGCTCAGCCCCTCCGCGGACGGCGCGAGGCTGCCGGGCCGGGCTCCAGCGGACCGAGACTGTACCTTCCAGCCTTCAGCCCCAGGTGAGCCATCTCTTCCCTCCCCAGACTCGCCCGCGTCCCCGGCTGGACCCAGGATCAGGGGCCGCGGGCGGTGCGCACAGCGCCGGCCTGGGACCTTCCTGGAGCGTCTCGCGCTTCAGTGGAGATGCCACTTCGGGAGTAAGGGGGGCAGCACTCTCTGTAATTCTTTTTTGCCCCGTCCCATCCCACCAGCTTCATTCCTGTCTCCTTCTTTCAACAAGTGCTAGGGTTTCCTTGACTTTGGGGCCTTAACTGGTAAATCCCGAAGACACCCCTGGCCGGCAAAGGCAGTCCGGAGATCCCTGGGCAGGCTGGACCAGTTTCACGGGGTTTTCCAAGTTCAGCGTTTCTAACCCTCCCGCTCCTGTCCCCGAGGCTGCGGGACACCGGCTCTCGGCAAAGCTCTTGGCAAACAGCTTCGCGCGACCCGCGTTTGGTACTTTTGCCACTCAAACTGCTACGACGGTCGGGGTCGTTCAGGAACGCGCGCAAAGATCTTTGGAAGAGTTGCGCGAAGTTTTGGCTTTCGCCACTTTTAACGTTTTGAATCAGTTAAGGTGCAAAGAAATCAAGGCCGACTTTTTCTTCTTGCTGAGCTGAAAAACAGCTGAATTGGCAACTGGCGTAGGAAGTTCACCAGTAAATAAGAATTTACTAAAACTAGGGCAGTTATGGTTTATTTCGATTACCATATAAAACCTAACTAGCGGGACTGAGAAGAAGGATGCCCACAATTTAGTCAAACATTAGCTAAAGCTTATTTAGGGGCTGCCCACATTGGTGGTGATTAAAGGGAAAAGCCTCTTAGAGACTCAGAAACTGAGATCCAATTGGATTAATTTTTTTTTTTTTGGCTGCGTCCTTAGACGATCTTAACTCATTCTTCTAATCCCGATGGGTTTGTCCACAATGACTAATAGACGCTTTTTCAGCAGTTTCCATTGTCCCAGCAAACTGCCGGATCAAATTTATTGCTAATGGCTTCATAGAATTTAACATGTTTAGAACCTGTCCTGGTCTTTCAGTTTGAAATGGTCGCTAACAGAATGGAACAAATATAATTATATGAACACCGGTCTCATTCACCTAGTGTAAAACCTAAATGCTAAATGCTGACCTTTTGTACTCTGGGAGAGAGACAAATACAGTTAAGGCAAAGTTTATATGCCTTGGAAATTTGGGCCACTCTGTTCTTTTTGAAGTATTAGGAAAATTAGATATATAAAAAGCAGATTCATATAGACAAGAATTAGTAAATAATTAAAATCTCATAAAACAAATCATTTTCAAGAAAATTTGGTGATTTGTGTAACTTTTGGTGGTTTGGCATTGTGTTCATAGAAATTCTTTTTCTAAGAGTCTTAAATTGTTCCTAATCATAATTGGCTACTCAACCATGAAAAGTTACTCAATTTTAACCTTTGCAGATTTTACAGATTAAATTTAAGTAAACTAAATGCAAATCAAATGCAAATATTTCAATATCCCTCAAAAATAATTTCATATACCTATTCATTTCATTCAAAATATTGCAACTAATGTAGTAGTTTCCTAACTGCATCCTTTTTGTTTTCAACAACATATTCATTCTTATACACTTACTAAAGTGTCCAAATTTACAAAAATTATTTTTGGAATAATTAAGAGGGTTTTAAGAATTTTTATTTCCCTTTGACGTATTCTAATACAGTCTAAGTATGTATTTTTCCAAATATTTTATTCAATCCTCATTGATGCTTTGATGTTCTCCTAGGTTAATTTTCATTTGAGCAAATAACTTTTTGTCTCAAAAAAATCATTCTTGTAAAGAATACATTTAACTTTTGAAACTAGAAAAATATCTAAAGTAAATTAAAATCCCATAAATTTGTCCCCACAAATATGCTGCTTAAAACCAGCATTCACATTCACTTATTGTTAGAATTTGACAAAGAATGTAGTTTTATGAACATTGCCCCAGTTTTATTTAAATGACAGTCTTGCCCTACCAAATGTTATAGAAATTCTTTTATACAACGTAGAATTACGAAGTTATAATAAGTACCAACAATTTTAGCTATCATATGGAAATTAGGTAAGGATGAAATAGTGATTGGATGTTCTGTAGAGAGTGGAAAAGAGAAAAGCTGTTGTTTTCAGGAAAATGACAATATTTTGTCTCTTTCTGAAATGTCAGTGAACAACCAGTTTCTGATCCTTTAGACACAAAGTTGGGGGTGGATCACAAAATGTGATTTTAATAATTTCATCGTATTTAGTACCCACTTTTTTCCTTTTCTCTTTTTAAAATTTTTTTTAGATACTTTTATTTTATCCAGAGCCACGCCTAAGAAGCCTTGAACAAGTGGACTCCCCACTTTTTTCCTGATCTTAATTTGTTGAGTGCACAAGTTTAATTGTTGAATAAGAAAACCCTAGAGTTATTTTTAAGGGAAATATAGCACCATTTAACTACGGGGTTTATGCCTCTGCATGCATTTTTGCTTCATTATTTTTGTTACCTACTATTAATTATGCCATCTATTTCATTCATTCAGCAAATGCTTACTGAGTGTCTCCTATGTGTCAGGCTCTGTTCTAGGCCATTGGCATAATCAGTGAACAAAACAGATAACTGTTTCTGCTCTTGTAGAGCTTACATTCCATGTTCTGTACTGCTTTATAGGTTGCTGAGCATTTTCACAATCATTAGCTTCTTTAGTCCTTATAATAGACCAGCAAGGTAACTATTAGGATTCTCATTGTTTCTCTGCAATGATTATTTCACTTGCTCGTTTTCTTTTTGTCTCAAGCATCATTTTAAACATCTATGGACTTGTGAAAGAGAAAAAAAAAATGCCCCAAATCTTCAGGCTCTTATCTTAGATTAGCCTTTCCTTGCCTGTAGGAAACTAATAAAGGAATAATGACATAACCAATTACATAGTATCACAGTAATAAATCAGATTGTGATTTTTGTGTCTCAGCCCATAAGGAAAGAAATTGACTTACCCTTTCATCTTCTTATAAGACATATCTCAAAGGTGGTAGCAGTTAAATGATAGCACAGATTTGCAGGTCATTGATGAAAGTCTAGCTGTTAGTGCTTCATCCCTGAAAATTGACAAGTTTCAATATTTACAGCAAGAAAAGGCACACTCCATGCTGTCAAGTTGTTTATATGGAATAGTTTGAATACTTTAAAAATCGAAGAGCATTCCTCAAGGAATATTTAGGGCAACATAGTAAATAGGTTCTCCTCTAGGGTTTATATCTGAAAAAAAAATTGGTGTGGATCTGTTACACTTTATTAGTGGAAACCAGGAGGTTTTGTGAGTAAATACTAATCATTGGATATCTTTCTCCAGAAGTTCGCTATTGTTATTATTTGGAAAATATTTTGCTAAATTAAAATAACCTTGTCTTTGTATATAAAAGAAGGTCTTGAAATGTAAAAAGCTGAAAAATTTAAATTTCTCTTGGTTATAGAATGGCATCAGTTTTCCAATTGATGGTTATGCCGTAAATTCTCTTCAAAATAAATGGAATAGTCTTTCTTTTAAAATAGCATTTGTTATGTTAAACATTTTAGAAAATGTTTGACATAAGAATAATTTACTGAATATCATTTCCTTCCTTGTTTATTAAATCTACTCCTACTGCATATAAAAGAATTGGAAAGCAAGTATTTATTCTGGATAGGTGAGTTAAAGTGTTGTTTTTTTTTTTTTAAGTAGTTTTGCGAAGTAAGTCATACTGTGTAGTACAGAAATGGAAGACACATAATTTTTTTTCTGACATCCAGTTTGGGTTGTTTCTGACTGTTAATACTTAATATGCACCTAGTTTTCTTGTCTACCATGCAGTCTCAGGTATTGTTTACCCGTTAATTGTTGACCCTGTCTGAAACTTTTTGCACTTATGTTTTGTACTGCAAATTTTAGTTTTTGCCTCCTTCACTGAGATAACACTGAAAGTGTGAAATAAAATTGCCTGTCTTACATTTTAGGCACTTGGAAGAAGGAGACAATGGATGTGTGCTCGAAGTTCGGGCTCCAGTCTAAATGGAAACTTTATGATCCGATTTACTAAGCCAGAGTTTGACATTTTTGTTGCTGACACTATGCTCTGTGTTTGTTTTAGAAAATTAAAATTATGGAATTTTGAATGTTGTTGATGTTGATCCAGAACCAGGATGAGAATGGGGGATTCAGAACAGGACAGTGATGGGACCTATTCTACTGGTTCTTTGCTTAGGCCATCACCCCAGGCATCTTTTGGTGGAAGTTGTAGATAATACTAGAGCCATATTCTTACTATATCTGTGTGTTTTTTGTAATCTGCTGAACATTTCTTTATATTTACATTAACATATTAATAAATTTTACATAGTTCATGAGTAATCAGCTCTGAATAGATTGTTATATGATCCCTAAGTTAATAAACATTTTCAGGTTCAAGAAGTTCTTGCAGTGAATAGAACCAATGGAACTAATAGTCCCTTTACATTTGGTAATTATTGAGTAAGCCACGCTCCTTACAAAATAATATCTGAGTTGGAACTATTAATACAGTGGGGTAGCAATTTAAGTGTATTTAATTTGCGTCCAACTTTAACATCTATCCCCACCCCCCCAACACATGCTTTTGTGCTTTGCTCTAACAATAAGCAAATCTCAATCTGGTAACATGTATTGAAGCTATCGAGGTTTAATAATAAAAACAACAGTACATGTAGCAGGCAGGTAGGATCATTTTAGAACTTTCCAGTTAACTCTTATTCTCTTAGGTATTTGAGGGTTATTTTAAAAGGTACAATGGTTTGAATGTCCAGAAATTTACATATGAATTTATGTAGGATCGAATTTAGGATTCAGAGTGTTCAGGGTTATGCTACGCATATCAAAGGATCCATGTGTTATGGTCAATTTAAAAGGATTGTCAAGGGTGGTTTTATCTATATTTGTTTGCCATCGACATGGGTCAGGTGTTGGAACCTAAGCTGTTATATTGATCTTTGG